CCCCCAGCCCCCCCCGCCCCCCTGATGGACCCGGTGCTCGGCACAAGGAAGCCCCGATGGTACCAAAGCCTCCCTGGGAGCCGTCCTGGCTCCGGAGGGGTCTGCTCCCCTCTCAGCCTTCCCCCCTCCCCATCCTTGCACGTTCTCCCGGCTGTTTTCCAAGGCAGGGGACTGTCCTGGGCACGGCTTGGGCTGTGCAGCCCCCCCGGAACCCCCAGATCTGCCTCGCTGGCTGCAGAGCCAGAGCCCAGCATGCGTGGGGCTGCGAGTGTGTGAGAGCACAGTCGGGGGGGGGGGACACCAGTCACAAGGGGGGTCCTTGCTCACCCCCGTAGAAAGCTCCTGGCAGCAGCTACAACACTCTCAGAGACAGAACTTTCCTCTGACTTTGCAGCCCCAAGTTCCCCCCCTCCAGCCCAGCCTGCCCCACAGCGAGTAAAACTCTTGCAACAAGAGAAAAAGGAAGGAACAAAGATTCCGGCTGTGGAAGAACAGAAAAACCAACAAGAGGAGAGAAAAAAAAAGAGGAAGAGCAGATGCTGCTTTGCATGTAAGGGAGGATGGAGAGGGCAGGAGCATCGTTGACCAGTGCAGCGTCCTGGGTCGGAGGGTCAGGCAAGGCGAGAAGAGCCTGGGGGGGAAAGCACCTGCCCACAGCTTACCTGTGTGCACCTCTCCCTCCTCCTGCCTCTTATTAATCCCCAAGACAAGTTTCTCTCTGGCTTTCTCCCTCCTCCTCCTCCTCCTCCTCCTCCTCCTCTCGGCACCGCGGCTCCGCCACGAATGAGTCTCGGCCGAGCACGGGGGTTTTGTTCCTGGGAGCCGCTGGCCGAGGGTGGGTGGGAGCGCGGGAGGCGGAGGGCTGGGACCGAGGCACGATGACAACAATAACGTCTTTATCTGGCAGCCAAGCGCTGCGGGCTCTGCTGCGCACACATGGCCTGCCTGCCGGAGGGCTGGCGTTTAATAACAATTCCTTCTGCTGCGGAGGCTGCTTGGAGCCCGTGTTTAAAAACAAAGCTAATTAATAATTTAAATAAGCCCTTTTCCTTGCCACGGCCCCTGTTTTCCAGAAGCGCGCGTTTGGGATGGAGTTTTGCAGCGATACAGTTGAATGGCAACGGGGGTGCAGAGAGCGGGGGCTTGGGGTGTGTCACCAGCCAGCCTGTCCCTGGGGATGTCCCACATGGGTCCCCCACCTGCACAGAGTGACTTCCAGTGGCCCCCCCAGCCCTGCTGAAGGGAGCCAGCCCCATGCCGGGGTCTCCGCTCCTGCCTGGCAGATGGCACTGTAAAACATGAGGCAGGGTTCATTCGCTCCCAGCTGGCAATGAGCTTTAATTTAAATCCTGATGGCACTTAATAAAGGGAAAGGAAGGGACCCATGGAAGTGCCATGCAGCAGAGCGGGCCACAGGTGGGGGGGCCACTGGGTTTTACATGGAGCCTCAGCCAGGTCCTGGGCTGGAAAACCACTGTGCACCCAGGGGACACGGCTGAGGGACCCCTGGGCATCTCACGTTGGTGGGTGCTCAGGGGGGACATTTCTCCGAGGAGGAGGCAGGCGGGGACCTGTTGCATATTCACAACTCACACACAGCGCCCGGCTGTGAGCGAGGAGTCCTGGGGGGCACAGTGGCCACGGGGATCTCCCTCCTCCAGGTACCCCCACCCCAGGCATCGCTGGGACGTGGGGTTCAGGGGGTCCTCTCCCCCCCCCTGCGAGCAGTCGTCTCTCCAGCCAAGCTGATTTACAGCAGGGGCCAGGAAACCTGAGCTGCTCTGGTTCATTAAAAACCCATCCCAAACCCTACTGGCAGCCACCCAGGAGGGTCCCATCCTGCACTCCCACACTCAGCTGACAGTGGCTCCCAGCAGCGGGTTCAAACAGCTGAAATCAGAGTCTCTCTCAAAGTTCCCTCCCCTACTTTGCCCTGGGCTCCCCGCAACCCTTAAATACATTTGTTCCCAACACGGTGCCCTTCCCCTCACCCCAAAACCAGAGTATTGCTGGTGAGTGCTGCTCGCTGGCTGCCAGGAGCGGGATGGCCCCAGGGCAGAGCCCTCACCCTGCAGCGAGCTGGGGCACTCGGATGCCTCCAAACCAGCAGGTACCTCGAGCGCAAGCCAGGAAAAGGACTCAAGAGAAAACCACGTCGGTATTTCACATCGTTTAAACAAAGGGTCGAGATGGAGACATGTGTTTGCCAGCTGGAGAAGGATCAGAATCAATAGGGAAAGAACATGCAGTTTGGAGATTCATGCCAATTGCTTTAAAAACTAGTCAAAAGTGTCTAAATCCACGGGGACATGTTTCATGGTTGGTTGTTTGTTGGGGTTGTGTTTTTTTTTTTTTTTCCTGCTAACTAAC